TTGAGAATAATGCATCACTGTACGAGAATAAAAAATTGCTATGCGAGAACTGAAATCAGCATACGAGAATAAAAAATTCCTATGCGATAATTGAAATCAGGATACAAGTTTGCGAAATCAACTTACGAGAATAAATAATCATTATACCAGAATCGGAAACAAAATCACTATGTGAGTTCAGGAAATCACTAATCAAGAATATCGATTAACAGTCACAAAATATCGATTAAACAGTCCTCAATTAGAGCATGAAGCAAGATGGCGACTGCAGTGACTTTTTTCATCTTTAAGCAACATCGCTGAATGGATTGTTTCAATTTTATATTCTCATATGATGATTTCAGTTCTCGCATAGCAATTTTTTAATCTCGTACAGTGATGCATTATTCTCAACATGTGATTTTGATCTCACCATACTTTTGTCATGTTTAGCATACTAGAGAGATGTTAGTTATTGGTCAATCATTACCAGGGTGTGGACGCTCGAATGATCCGTCTCTGATCTGAGTGACACCAAACAACAAGAACACCATTACACAAGCGAACAATCCTCTGTACAAATTGAAACAAATTTTATAGTTAAAATAATGTACCACTGCCTTTCTAAACACCATAATTTAGGTCACTAAGGATCAAGCTATGGACCTCTTGCTTATAGCATGCAGCACACTAACCAAACAAGCCACACTTGCTCCTTAAAACAAGTGTGTGAGGTCACTGAGGATAAAATTATAGACCTCTTTCTTAGCAGGCAGAAGACTAACTAACCAAGCCACACTTGCTCCTTAAAATAAGTGTGTTAGGTCAATGGGGATCACACTATGGACTCCTCTTACTTAGCAGACAGCACACTAGCCAACCAAGCCACACTTGCTTCTTAAAACAAGTGTGTGTGGTCACTGAGAATCAAACTATGACTTAGCAAGCAGTACACAATCAATCCATACTTTTTTCTTTTCTTTTTTGTTATTTGATTTCTGTTAAATGCATGTGAACATTATAAAATACCTTTTGGTATTATATTGACTGTCCATTGGTGTTAACTCAAACAATGCAACATATACAAGCACAGCAAGCATTCCAACAAGGACTGTGATGGTATGTGCTTGCCTGCAGATAAAATGAAATAATGGCTGTCAGAAAACAACTTTTTTCTTATTCCTAAAATTGGTCCAAATAGGGAATGTGCTCTCAGTCTTGAATGTAAGATAGAAAAGTCTGTAGTACACCATCAACTGCAACACACAGATGACAGTAGACGTTGTGAAAGTCTAAACCAGAATAAAGACAAAATTTCAAGATAAAAAAACGTTTTTGTATTACTTCCACTGTGGCAAACATTGGGTAACCTCATAAATAGGGAATTAGGTTTTCAAATAATTTGAAGTCCAAGTATTGTTTAGTATTGTTTATAGTTTGAGAAGCCATATGAAGCACTTGAAAGATTCTTCCACCCTCTATCCAAACACCTCAAAGTTTTTGGTGTAAAAAAACTCGGATCCGCTCTGTTTTTTCAACTAACTTCTTGGCATTTGGAAATCGGATGTAACAATAATTTTTCATATACATATGATATATTAATTCTTTTTCTACTACTGCCTCTGTTTCTATTTCAGTTTCTACTTTCAGGATGGTAATAAAATTTATTCTACTCAAATACACAGAAACATCTATACCTTATTAACTGGTTTAAGGCTGTCATTGTAAGCGATATAAAAGTTCAATTAGAAGCGTTTATGAGCTAATTTAAATGCAAGTCATAATAAATGTTTATACAAACACATTGTTTACACTTATTAACGCTGACGTTATGCACGAAGCTGGTGAAGGTTATTCCTTCAACTATCAGTTTCCTTTAGTTCAAGCTCAATAACACCATTTTAACCTACCAGAAAAAGGTATTAGTGCCATCATCACTAAATTGTTGGGTCTGTTTTCGGTCCCATTCACATGCGATGGCAAAAGGACGTCGTTCAACATGGTCTCCACCATTGGCTCGTACTGTTGATTGCTCACTTAACTTCATGACTTTCTCCATAGAACTCTTACAACAGCACTGTCCACAAGTACATCTACACTCGGTTGACTCCTTTAGCTTGTCCATGACGTGTTATTGAAGAGATCAGGGTTGGTTTGGGGTGTTTTTATGTTGGATGTTGTTTGGAATCCCTTCGAAAAAAACCTGTTGAACTTTTATTAACAACCTGTAATGAATGAGGAGGACTGGGATATATCCTCACCTCAGACCCTCAGACCCTTTTAGCTTGTCCATGACGTGTTATTGAAGAGATCAGGGTTGGTTTGGGGTGTTTTTATGTTGGATGTTGTTTGGAATCCCTTCGAAAAAAACCTGTTGAACTTTTATTAACAACCTGTAATGAATGAGGAGGACTGGGATATATCCTCACCTCAGACCCTCAGACCCTTTTAGCTTGTCCATGACGTGTTATTGAAGAGATCAGGGTTGGTTTGGGGTGTTTTTATGTTGGATGTTGTTTGGAATCCCTTCGAAAAAAACCTGTTGAACTTTTATTAACAACCTGTAATGAATGAGGAGGACTGGGATATATCCTCACCTCAGACCCTCGCGGTTAAACTCATGAATATGGGAGCGCAGTTCAACCACAGTATCAAAAGATATCAGTTGTTAATTAATATTGGTTAATATTGTAAAAAAATGATTAGAATTAATAAAATACATCAAATCATCTTTTTGTCAACAATACATCAAATCCTTTTTACGGGTATTTAAAGCTAATTAAAGCTACACAGAACAGAGAGAAGCTAGCTCTGAAGGCCGCGCACTAACCAACAAAGCTACGCCTTCTCACAATAATTAACGTACCTAAAGGAGTGCTTTTCAAAGCACTTTTAAAAAAGGTCGTATAGAGCGTTTTCACTTACGTGAGAAGGCAGCCATATTGGTGTACCAAACAATAGAAACTTTCTGCACAGTTTTTGCCTAAAAATAGAGTTCAATTACCGGAGGATACAAAATGTATTGTTTTAATACATCCACATGGCCGCTGTGATGTCACGTCAAAACGCTCTATAGTTTCTGTGATAATTCGATTCGCTTCGGTCGCGTGAAGGTAACTTCACCTTTAAAAGTCCAAATAACTGAAGTATTTGAAGATATTATGACTCAATTACGACTATGAAAACCAGATCAGTGAAAATTTTATCCTGGGAGCCACTTGCAGTTGGGATATTTTGGGTTAAAAGTGAAAAGAACAATAGGGTTTAGTAAATGACGTCATTTACTCACAATTTAGATGCTGAATAAAATTGATAATTTTCATACCCCACTTTTAACGGTCAAGAAATATGATAGATGTGTTGATCATCACAGTGAATGAGCGATCTAAGCGAACGCTGTAAAGAAAGACTTGAAAAAATGATTTCAAGCTTCAACGGGAATCGAACCCATGACCTCCGCGATGCCGGTGCGATGCTCTGCCAACTGAGCTATGAAGCCAATCATGTTGGCGAGCG